CCTCTCAACGAGAGCACCAAATGATGGATAGTCTACCCGGGGGTATCTTATCCGAGGGGTTATTGTGGGAATAACTTAGAGAGAAGTCAGAGTAAATAGGAGGAGAGAGAGTCGATTTTATTAAATGAACTCGAGATGTGGAGTTGAGATGTAGATCGTGTTTTACAAGGAGAAATGGGCTGCTATTTATAGCAGCAATAAATGCGATGAGGGGACACGTGTCAGTAATCCAACGGCCGAAGGGTCACATCAGCTGGTTGGCACCGGCAGTGGTACGCCCACCGCATTGATTGCGGTTGGTGGATGTGACGTGGCATTAAATGCGGTGGTTGGCTGTCTCTAAAAGGAATCTTCGATGATTGAGCTAGTTCAGCTGAAGGCTCCTTGTGTAGCCGAGGGCTCCTCGTGTAGCCGAGGGCTCCTCGTGTAGCCGAAGGCTTGGTTCAGCCGAAGGCTCCCCCTGATGCCGAGGGCATGAGAATGCCGAAGGCCCATGTTTTCGCCCGTTTTCTCCCAGCAGCTTCTTATGCCAAAAAAGGCTATCCTGTGAGTTCTGGAGCCTTCGGCCATGGAGGCCGAAGGCATCCCAGTGTGTATCCTGAGCTACTTTGAGGCTTGGGCCGTTGTATTTGGGCCTGAGTTGTTTCTTGGGCTCGACGGACCTGTGTAGGAGAAGTAGGAGTCTATGGGCCGGGGGTTCCTGGGCCATATACTCCATCAGTAGATATTAGATAATATAACATTTACATCCAAAGTTGTGAAAGTAGTTGATGTTTGGTTTTCTTCCTTTCCACAATTCATAGGGAGTGTTCTGGTGAGCTTTGTGAATGATGCTTTTGTTCTGAGTTTAACAAGCAATGTTGATTGCTTTTATCCATTATCTGATTGAAAGAACTGATTATGCAATCATAGTTCTGACAGCTTCTTTTAGTGTTCTGTTCTTTCTTTCTGCAACGTCGTTTTGCTAAGGTGTTCTGGTAGTAGAGAGTTGATCTAGAGAGCCATTCTGATCACATAATTCCTTGATTATCTGGTTTACAAATTCTCTTCCTCTACCCGGTCTGATCTTTTTTACTTTCAGGTTCTAATCATTCTGTGGAAGTTTCAACAGAGATGGTTGTTCCTTCAGAGTTTCGTTCTTTTTCATCAAAAAGATAGTCCATGTAAATATTGAATAGTCATCAACCATGACTAAGGTGTATCTCTTTTCACTAACATTGGGTGTTTCAACAGGTCTAAATAAATCCATGTGGATTAGATTTAAAGGACTTGTGTAAGGTCTCCAACAATGGGTTTAAAGGAGTTCTTAACTTGTTTTCATTTCTGGCATGCACTGCATAGGTTCTCCTTCTTGTACACAATGTCTAGCAGTCCATCAAGTCATCAACAATGTGTTCCCTTACTAGTTTGTTGATTGTTTTGAAATTCATGTGACTTAGTTTCTTGTGCCAATTCCAACTAAGTTTTGAATCTCCTTTTGCTATCAGGCAAACACTCTTCTTTGTTGTGGTCCAATCAACGACATATATGTTTCTTTTTCTATTGACAGTCGGAACGTCCTTGGTTGTATCATATTGTATGCTATTGTATTATAATATTATATTGTATTGTAATATTATTGTATTATAATATTATATTGTATTATATTTTGTGTTGTGTTGTGTTGTGTTGTGTTGTGTTGTGTTGTGTTGTGTTGTGTTGTGTTGCATTGCATTGCATTGCATTGTAATGTACTGTATTGTATTGTGATGTGTTATGCAGCCTGTGCAGCCTGTGTTGTGTTGTGTTGTGGTGTGGTGTGTTGTGGTGTGTGGTATGGTATGGTATGGTATGGTATGATATCATATCGTATCATATGGTATTGTATTGTTTCATATCGTATTGAATTGTACTTTTAAATTCCATAACAAATCTCAACTCATTTGAATTTGATTTCCTTTATAGCCGCAAGGCCTCACCGTCTCAACAAGAAAAATTGCAGAAAGCTTAAACGGAAAAGACGAATGTGAGTAAGTGACTATAAGAACGGCATGCAAAATTCCAATGAACAATGGCAAGGTAATGCCGACAAAGAACGGGCAAGGAACTTTTAGGCGGTATTTCCAACGACAACGAACTACAACTGCTTTGACCAAAATGCTCTTGATTTTAATTACATAGAAGACCACCATCCAATTTGGATCAAATATCCTTTCAGACCGCATAATCGTAAGCCGCAATGAAAAAAACTGTTGAAAAGTTGATCAGTAGAACTGACTGGGAAGTAGCTATAGGCGGTTATGAAGAACAAGAAGAAAACTCTAACATATAAATATGGAATTTAATAGATTCAAGTATTCAACTGCCAAAATAAAGTTTTTAAGTTTAAATATGACTTGGAATATTAGACATGTCATGATATGAACATAAAGTTTTTAGGGAAAACAGTCAAATAGGTCCTCGAACTTTTATAAAAAGGTCAATTAAGTCCTTCTATAGGAGGTTCTGTCCGGCCGTCGCGATTTGGGGCAGTTCCCGGTGGAAGTTTTTGATGAAATTTTTTGAGCATCTTATTCACCAAGTCTAGTTTACTCATACCAAATTTCAGCTAAAAATTCAATCGGGAACAAATTCAAATTAATTCTTGAAGATAACTGCGCATTTTTGCGTTTTCGGATTAATTTGAATGCGCTCCCGATTGAATTTTTAGCTGAAATTTGGTATGAGTAAACTAGACTTGATGAATAAGATGCTCAAAAAATTTCATCAAAAAATTCCACCGGGAACCGTCCCAAATCGCGACGACCGGACAGAGTCTCCTATAGAAGGACTTAATTGACTTTTTTATGAAAGTTCGAGGACCTATTTGATAGTTTTCCCAAGTTTTTAAACGTGAAATTTAGTCTTATTTTAATCGTATTCGTAAAGTTCTTTCAAAATATGACTGTATATGCAATTGTACTTTTTGGACATTAAATTAATAAAGTTAAAGTTAGTACAAGAATTAGTACAAAGTTAGAATAAACACCACGTGAAAATCAACGTAGAGTTCTTAAAGGTGGGCACCTAAAACATGCGTGAGACCAATTATTACATATCCATATTAAGCTGAGGAGAGGTGGACAGTAAGAAGACATTGATTCTGAATGAATCTGGAAAATGAGTATGGATAACAAAAGTACATTAATTGGAACTTCAAAAACCATGACAATTAAGTATGAATTACAAAAGTACATTAACTGAATTTAAGAACTATGAATCTACTAGGATTCCTACAATGCTTCTTAGTTCTTAATATGCCCATCTTTCTTATAATGTGAACACCGTTGCCACTGTCAAGGAGCAAAACGTATAGCCGAAGGTATACACTTCTTTTTATGTCACCCGGATTGGCATGTGAGGCATACAAGTGAATTGCACATTATGGATTGCATCTAATCAAGAAGATTTGATTCAAAGTAAGAACCAATATCGGAGATGTCATCGTAACACAATAATCTTCAATCTTGACCTGCATCGGCAACACCATGAACATGTATGAACTACTCCGGTTGATACTCGCAACATGAGCTTGTTTTGTCTTTGAGATTAACAACCACACTTCTAGATGCTGATTTGTTCACAACCTCAAACTCATATTGAGTAGCACGCTTAACCTAAAATAAAATTCACAACAAAAAAGCAAGTACAAAGTGAATGCAGAGTATATAAATAATAGAAGAATGAAAATGTCATTCGAAATATGCACTTTTCTAGATGCATATTTTCATGTCGGTGCTTGATGATGTCAACAACTATATCAATCGTGGCTTGATAGTGAGGGCTTTCTCTGACATTGAGAGAGCATGTATGACTAAACCTAAACTTGGAAAACAATATACAATACATAGACAGTAAGTAATCAATAAATGAACAATAAATTCTGATAATAGTATAATAGCATAAAAGGCAATGTAAATCGTAATATATGCAATTCACTATATCCAATGATTAAATTACCTCAAGAGGCCGTCGGGAAACTCCACGCTTAATATATGTAGGTCATTGCTAATCAAAGTATAATTGGCAGAACAATGGATGTCACAACCCTAGGTCCATGACTATTTATGGTGGCCTGGAATGCTTCCATTTGTATTCCGAAAACCAGAATATCAGTGGAGCGGTAGTGATTGCAATGCCTTTGGTGGGAGAGATGAGTCGATGATCACGATGTCTTTGGCGATAGAGATATGAATTTGAGGAATTTTTATTCAAATGAAATACCTGAGTGAAGAATAAAATTGGAAAGTAACAATAAAGTTTTGAGCTAAATAAATCAGAATGATACAGATGGATAAAACATGGTCAAATCTTGCTTTTATAAACTCTTATGATTTAGAAGCTGTTCTCTTCGCCCGATCTGAATTTTTTAAATTCTGATCTGAATCCTTCTGATGTGCTCTTACTGTTTCTGATCTGATCTAAATGTTTCTAATCTGGTCTGATATGATCTGAACCTTTCTGATCTAATCTGAATTTTTCTGATCTGATCTAAATTTTTCGGATCTCATTTGATCTGATTATCATAAGAATAAGGAGAAAAGAGAAAAATGTCGATTGAGTACATTAAGTTGCAGCTCGTGGAATAAAGAGTACCACTTCTTACAAGTGAGACCAGGAAGTACACAAAATAGGTATTTGGGTGTTAAATCAGTCCATTCCTTCATTTGACGTTAAAAATTGCTGATGTGGCTGTTACAGTCGTTTGTTTTTTAAAAGCTGGACTCCAACTCAGCAACTTCCCAATCCTCTTATATATGTAACCAGTAACCCTAATTTATAAATAATGTCTGCGTATTTCATCCCAATCTTCATCTAGCTCTTCGTTTCTTCTTTGTCTTCTGTTCGAAGGGTGATAAAATCTTTTGATGAATCCTAGATTGTTGTTCATTGTTTATCTTATGGGCTGAATTTACTTTCCAGTTCCTGCTCCTTTCTGTTAATATTTGGGTTTGTTTTTTCAGATTTTTGTTGTGAGAGCTACGGACATGGCTCATGGAAATTGTGCATGTGGAATCCCTTTGAAGATGCTGACATCATGGACTGATGACAATCCTGGAAGACGGTTCATTACTTGCTCAACATTAAAGGTATGACCTTGAAGCTTGATTTTACCTATTTAATTTAATTTGTGTCAATCGGGCTGATTTTACGTTTTCAGTAGTTTGAATGAATATATGTACACATATATATTGCACTTGAGCCATATGTAGACAACTTGATGTAAACAGTCATATGTTGTGATTTTTTTGTAATAATATTGTTATTTATGTTTTTGTTATTGATAGGGAAAGGGAGGATGTAAAATGTTTGAATGGATTGATCCAGAAATGTGTCCACGGTCGAAGATGATTATCCCAGGTCTGCTGAGGAAAATAAACAAGCTACAAGTTGAACTTGAGGAGAAAAATGCAATGCCCAAGAAGAAGAAGAAATGGACTGTCTTATGGTGTGTTGTGGGAGGAATGATGCTACTAGGTTCATGGATTGTTTGTTTTGACATTGGAAGCAAAAATAAGTTAGGTTGGGACTATTGCGAGGCTCTAATGATCTAAATGTGTAGTTCAATGTAGGCTCGAATAAGTAATAAGAATAATAAGACTTCTGAGGTTCTTCGTCAACCATTTCCCTCAGCAATCTCCCGCCAAGCATTTGAACATCTATTCTTTCCCCCACAGGATGAACTTGACTACTTCTCATCACCATTGTTACTCACAGCCACCACTAACATGCTCTCAGGGCCACAGCACAACTCTGATCCTCCCCACGGAGGAAGGCGGATCCATCTGTCTTCTGTGCTTCTCGAACCTTGTATCCAATCCCAGATCGCCAACCGTCCACGTGTCTTACGCACTCTCCCAGCTCTCTATCGCCATCACCCAGCCACAATTCCGCCAGACCTTCTTCAATTTCCACTCTCATTTCCTCATCTCGCCTCTCGTCGCTGCCCTCTCCTCTTTCGAAGATGATCCTATCGCTCAGCAGACGGTGGATTTGATCGTGCAGATTTGTGCTGCGGCCAACTTCGAGGTCTTTCAGGAGTTCGTGGCTCGGCTCTCTGACAGGCTATCGAGTGGATCTCTTGCATGGAGTCGGCGCCAGCGCTACACTGTACGTATACTCTTTTGATGATTAATTTCTGGACCCCCCACTGCTGTTTACTTGAGGAATTGAGAGGTAAAGCTACATCACGTCGGTTTTGTTGATTGTACCTATTCAGTTCGCCTCGGCATGTTGATTCAATGTTTGTACTCGTAATGTCATTCGATTGAGATATACACAAACTTGGCCTGGACGTAACCTTTCAATTGGCAAGACGTCAATAACCGAGCAATTGAATTCACAATTTAAATTTTGAATCAGAGAATGCAAATTTGAGTTCTAGTCTAGCTCTTTGATCAGTTAGATTTTGATATTGTATCAATGTGTGGGTGAACCTCTTGTGAGTCTTTGAACTGATTAATTATGTGTTTTGTCTGTACTCTCTCCAAATCCCAACAACTTTAAATATTAATTCCAGCTGGGTGAGATGACATCCACCGATGTAGAGATTCTTATGCTTTTATCTTGAGACATTAATTGCTGCTTCTCTCCACCACATGTAGACAGAAGTAGTGAACACACTTTCGTTGAATAAGTGGGCATGCCACTTCATAATTTTTTTTTTGTGCCTTTGCAGCTTCACTGTTTAGGTGTGCTTTTGAACTATCAGAAAACTGAAACTTGTGCTTCCATTAAAGATGCGGATTCCCTCATTTTCAACCTTGTCAATGGTCTTCAATTATCTAGGTTTTGATTCACAGCTAGAGTTAGCTTTGCTATCAGTCTTAAGTTTATAACCTGAACAGTGAAGATTGCTTCCTTATGTCAATGCAGTGAGGAGGTTCAAGCAGAGATCCTGTTTGTCCTGTACAAAATATTTCTTCTCCTGCAATCTCATATAGACAATAACTTTACCGACAGTGTATTCCTTCACTGTCCCAAGCTAGTCCAATTATCCCTGGAGGTTCTCCTGAAAGCTGAAAGGGATGATCTACGTTTGAACTGTGTAGGCAAGCACCTCTCTTTTGTTCTTCCAACGTCCAATTTAATTAACTTATCTATGCACCTTTCATTATTCTTACTGCACCAGTGGTTGGTACTTGATCTGTAATTATTTCAACAAATGAAGTGATGCTTCAGAGGATATCTCATTTTAAGCTATTACGTAGTATTACTTTTCTGCTTTTTAGGAAAATTCATAAGTGATGAGTATCCTGATGTATGAGCAAGCTATAGTGGATTGTTTCAGGAAAGTATGGTTTTTGATATGATGCCAAATTGCCAACTTTGAGATAGTAATGTCAGTAGGAAAACTGATTTCTTGACAGTTACCTGCAATTAATCAAAATATCAGTGATATTTTCTAGACGAGTGCTCAGGTGTTAACCCATTATCAATAGCATTCTTGACCCCTACATTGCCTATGGTTTATAATGCAATAAGGAAATTACCACTCTGCAATGTCTTCCGTGCACTCCTTTTATGTTGCAATGCAACATCATCATCATCATCATGCTGATCCATGCTACAATATAATACTATATTATGGAAAGATAAAAAGTGCAATCAAGTAAAATAATTAGGAGTGATAGCTGATTGGTTTTCTTGATTGATTTTATTTATTTATTTATTTATTATGATTTCATTTAACACCTTCATTGGTTTTCTTGTTTTCTGCATTCGTATGCATGTAATTCCTCTTATAAAGGGAAGCTTTGCTAGGCTAATAAAATATCAAAGAGAATTAAAAAGAAATCATGGAGAAGACCCCACCCCCCCAAATTTCCACATCCCCTGTCCGTTTATCATTTATATTTCATCCTCGTGACACAAAGAATCCCGGCACATAACATTTTGGTTACATTGCCAGCGTCATGGGAAATTGCACACTTTTAGCTTATCAGTATACACTCCTCTCAAAGATACATGCATACAGAAAAGGAGCTATACAACCCGGCAAGTAAAGGGCATCTTGACAAGCTGTAAAATACCGTGCAAAAGGTGCAGCAAGAACTGCAACCATTACAAGAGTCGGTTCAGAAATGTTATGTTCTAACCAGATTGCCAACCTTTCCCAATCAGTGGTCTCCTTGGTAGGCGATGAAGCACCCCATCAGTAAACACCTCATCTACAGAAATTTTTTCTCAACTGCCGTTGCTTCCACCACAACACCTTCTAGAACCAATGCTGTCTGCAACCCTGATAATATAATGCAGACTCCCCTGCCCGATAAACTTCCCAAAACGAACTTCTTGCACTTTCGGGATCCATTTTCGTCCACTAAGACTGTCCCACTTTACCATTGTATTCAAAGGAAATTATCAACGGATGGTGATCACCTCGACCATAGTCCACCACTCCACCTCTAAGAGCGACTTTCGATCTTCTTCAAGACTAGTTTGCTGGCACCATGAATAGAATTCTAGTCATCCTAGTTCTCATCCTCTGTCCTTTACTCCTTTCAATTATTATTTGGTTAAGGTCATGCCCAAGTTATTGCACTTCATGCCTCCTCCAAGCAGCACGACCTCTGACTTTTCGAGGAGTCTTGTATCTTTTGTCTTCTTTGGGAATCTCCAAATCACTTCTGAAAAGCTTAGCGGCAGAAACTACATGGACTGCCAGGTCTCCGTTGAGATGTGATTCTTAGGCCAAGGATTGTTCAAACGTTTAACCAAAAGAGCTGATTAAAGAAAAATGGACTCAAACCGATCATCAGTTGGTTGCTATTTTATGGCAGTCCATTGATCCCAAACTATTGATTCACTTCCGCACATACAAGACTTGTTATGTCATATGGAAGAAAGCTCGAACTGTGTTTGCGAATAGGGGTGGAAACAAGCTGGATTTAGCCTAAATAGGTCATGCCTGTTTTAGTATATTTAGGCTTGAGCCTGTCATGTTACCTGTCAAAGGCCTGCTTTTCAGCCTGAGCCTGACCTGTTTCAAAGCTTGGTCTAGTCTGTTTAAAAGCCTGGCCTAGCTTGAAACCTATATAGTAAGCCTGTTAAGAAAAAAATCTATTTTTTTTTAAATATAGTGACAAATCTTTTTAACACGATATAAGGTTTATCTCATAAATTACTCTCTAAAAATATAATGGGATTGCCTACACACCTTAGCAGAATAGGATTGCCGAAAGAAAACATTGTCATATCATTGCAACAACACACTACTGGTTCATGCCATTGCTCCACTAAAATTCTAGGGAGATGTTGTTCTCATTGCTGTTCATTTGATCAATTGAATGCCATCTTAACAAAGTACCACGCTCTATCTTGTTCCCAAAGGATCCAGTATTCCTTGTTCCTCCTATAGTCTTTGGTTCTACTCGTTCCATAATTCCATGCATGATCATTCTCCTAGTCTTGATAAATTATCTCTACGAGCAATCAACTGCATAATCCTTGGCTACTCTAGAGTCCAAAAGAGGTACTATTGTTACTCACCTTCTACTCATCGTTTCAATACATTTGCAGATGTCACCTTCTTTGAGAAACAACCGTGGAAGTCAAATATGTCTCTCACTTCACCCGTGGAAGTCAAATATGTCTCTCAGTTTTTACCCATTCCTCATCTTACTCCATTATCACCTCTCAGTCCTCTCCCAAACCTTCCATTACTTATGAGTATCGACCGCGGTTTGCACCTAATGAGGATGTCTTTATTAATGACCCTAGTGATTCACCTCTTGTTCCAGCTCCTTTACCTACTCCGGTCCAACCTGAAGCACCAACCAAACCTGATCTCCCCATTGCAACTGGAAAAGGTATATGTTCCACTCAGAACCCTCATCCTATTTACAATTGTCTTAGTAATCATCACCCATCTCCTTTCCATGTTGATTTTGTGTCTTCCATTTCTTATGCTTGCATTCCTAAAACTGTCCAGGAAGCTCTTGCCCATCCAGGATGGCGCCAAGCTATGCTTGATGAGATAGTATCCTTTGAAGTTCCCCTGCCTCCTAGGAAATCTACTATTGGTTGCCGCTGGGTGCTTACAATCAAAGTTGGTCCTAATGGACAAGTCGACCGGTTGAAAGTTCATTTGGTTGACAAAGGGTTTACTCAAATTGACTTGATTATGCTGACACTGTTTCTCCGGTTGAAAAGATGGCTTCCGTACGTCTGTTCTTATCTATGGCAGCTATGCGTAGCTAGCTCTTACATCAATAGGACATAAAAAGTGCATTCCTTCGTGGTAACTTGAAAGAAAAACTTTACATGGAGCAACCGCCTGGGTTTGTTGCTTAAGGGGAGTGTAGGTTTGTGTGTTGGTTGCATGAGGCCTTTATGGTCTTAAAGAGTCCCCAAGAGCATACTGTCTTTTATAAAAAGGTCTTTATAAAAAGTTTGGGATGATTCAGTATGGCTCTCAAACAGTTTGGGATGATTCAATGCAAAGCAGACCTACTGTCTTTTAAAAAAGGTCTTTATCTAATCAATCTACGTACCTTGTTGTTTATATTGATGATATTGTAATAACAGGAGATGATCACGATGGCATACAGAATCTCAAACAGTACTTGTCTCAGCAACTTCAAATAAAAGACTTCGGACGACTTCGTCACTTTCTGGGAATTTAGGTAGCTCAATTCAGAATTGACATTGCCATATCTCAAAGAAAATATGCTCTTGATATTCTGAAGCAAATCGGGATGACAGATGGTAAGCCAATTGATACTTCAATTGATCCAAATGTCCGACTTTTGCCAGATTAGGAGGCCATATCCGATCCTGGAAGATATCGATGATTTGTGGGGAAGTTTAATCATCTCACTATGACTAAACCAAACATCTCCTTTGCTATGAGCGTGATGAGTCAGTTCTTCAACACACCATTGATAGTCAATGGATATGGTTGTTCGAATCCTAAGATACATCAAAGGTTCACCCGGAAGAGGACTAGCTAATGCGAATCGAGGTTATGACAATATTACTGGATCTTCAGATGCAGATTGAGCCGATTGTCCAAATGATAGGAGATCATTGGTGGAAATCTTATCTCTTGAAGAGAAAGAAACAAAGTGTTGTTGCTAGATCAATTGAAGAAGTAGAGTATCGAGCCATGGCTCTTACTACTTGCGAACTTATATGGCTGAAGCAGTTATTGTCTGAGTTAAAGTTTTGTAAACTGAAGCCTATAAAACTGATTTTTGATAATCAAGCAGCTTTATACGCTGCTTGCCTGCTTCTAACCCCGTCTTCTATGAATGGACAAAACATATAGAAATCGATTATCATGTTATCCGTGAAAAGGTCATCCCTGGAGAAATCTTCACATCCTTTGTCAATTCAAATGATCAGTTAGCTGATTTTCTCACTAAGTCACTTTGAGGTCCTAGGGTAAGATATATTTGTGACAAACTTGACGCATATGATAGCTATACACTAGCTTGATGGGGAGTATTGAGATATGATATGACTCTAAGTGAGATCCTTTTTCATTTTATTATTTATTGATTTTTTTGAAATATTATATAATACCTCCTTTCCAAAAAGGTTCGCCATATTGACTTTTCTTGGTCAATGATGGCGAACTTTGGACAATGATTTTAATTATTATATTTTTATATAATTTCTAAATTTTATACTTTTATGACAATATTTTCAATAAGGAACATTTTGATAAAATTTTTATATTCAAATTAATTTCATATTAGAAAATATCATCAGTCAAAGTTGGTTGTCATTGACCAAGAAAAGTCAATTTGGCGAACCTTTTCGGGACGGAGGGAGTATTGAATTATTGTACAGATTGTATCAAATCAGAAATTATTAGATGATTGATGTAAATTGGGAAATCTCTATTTCCCTCATAAGTTGATACGATTCTTTCCTTGTAATTCTGAACCTTATATATAAAGATGACCCCAAAATCTTTTGGGAATAAGGCTTGGTTGTTGTATAAATAAAGATGAGCTGAGAGTAAATTTCTCTCAAGCAAATTCATTCAAATCAGTAAATTCAAGTATAATATTATGGAAAGATAAGCAGAGTAACCAAGTAGAATATTGAGGAGTAATAGCTGATTTGGTTTGCTTGCTTGATTTTATTTTGGTTTGATTTTAATACCTCATTAGTTAATCTATTTTAGGAAGTGATTTTCAAGGGCTTTCCTTTCTTTGTTTTCTGCATTCTAATGCATGTAATCCTTATAAAAAGGAGATTTGCTATGCTAATAAAACACCAATAAAAAATTAAGGAGAAATTAAGAAGGAAGACATCCCAAATTTCCACAGCCCCTATCCAGTTATCATTTATATTTCACTCCCATGACGCAAAGAGTCCCGGCAGGGGTGAGGCCAGGGCACTGGGTCGGACTGGGATGGTACAAAGAATATTTTTGAAAATTTTTTACACGAATTTTTTACACTAAAAATATAGACATTTTTAAAATTTGGGCCGGGCCGAGGCCAGAGCTGGCCCTCCCCTAACTACGACCCTGAGTCCCGGTACATAACACGTGCATCTGCGATGTATTAATTGCTAGTTTGTTTTATCTTATAACCCTTTTCTTGTTTGTATGCTTAGCACTTCTGACAGTATTGGCCAAGAAAGGCTTGTTCCAGACTATATCCATCAATGATGCAAGGAGGAACATTTCCTCTGCTCAAAATTTGATGCTAACATCAGAACATACAATCGTCAATCCTCCTCTAGTTAACCTGTTTGCTGAGGCTGTCAAAGGTCCCCTGCTTTCTTCAGATAATCAAGTGCAAGTTGTAACACTGGACTTGCTCTATCTTTTTCTCTCATGGGAAGAAGTCTCGGGGAAAGAAATTGAAGTGTTTGTGGAGCAAAACATTGCAGATTATGCATTTGAAATATTGAGGTTGTCCGTTGAGTCATCCCAAATGAAAGGTGATGAAACAGCAAACATTCATATTCTAGGCTTCTTGTAAAGAGTTTCATTTATTCTCTGCCATATTGCTCATTACTAGACACCTTGCAACCCAAGTTGTTTGGTGCTAAGATTTAGTTGAATTAGTTTATTTACTGATATTTTAAAAGTTAGATTATGTAGTAGTCAGATCAATTAACTTAAAAACATGTGGATGTCATAATTACTCATGATCTTGTTGTCCCCCCCTTTTTAATTTACTGTACGGATTTGCAGAGTGCAAAGGTCCTCTGATTAATGGTTGCATTCAGGTTCTGGATGTTTTATCTACTGCTGAGAAAACATTTCTTCAAAGATTAGCCACTGGATTGACAACCCTGGTTGCCATTCTTCAACATGTTGGTGATGTACCTTTTCACCCTGTTCAAACTGAGACACTAAAGCTCATATGGAGTTGTGTAACAAACTGGCCAGGGATAGTATCCAAATCTCACTTTGAAGAAATAAGCTTGACCTTGAGCAGGATGTTAAAAAAAAATATTGACGGGGATGCTGGAATGTTACCCAGGACACTTGCTTTGGTTTGTTCAATACTTGTTGCTCTTATGAAATGTTCAGCTACCCAGGAGATTTCAAGTTTCCTCATATCAATTCAAGATGCACCAAGAAATGCTGTTTTAACGAGTTTAAGCCATTATGATAAACAACCAAGTCAATTGTTGCACTCCCTTTACCTGCTGAAAGAGGCATACGCTTACAGTCATGGGGAAAAACTGACAGGCTCCATATGCACAGAACTAAGAGGGGGGATCATCGATGTATGTAAAACACACATACTGCCCTGGTTTATGAGGGCCCTTAATGACATTGAGGATGAGGACATTGCATTGGCAGTTTTTGAAACTTTTCATGCAATACTGCTGCAAGACTATAATACGGGAACCAAGACATTTGCAAATATTCTGCTCTCATCTTCCTGGTTCAGTTTTTCATTTGGTGCATTAGGCTTATTTCCGACAGAAAAAATGAAACTGAGGGTTTATTTTTTGTTCAGCTCATTGTCTGAGGCTCTTATAGGAGATGATGATTCTGGTAAATGTATTAGGGATGCTGCCCCTCATTTACCATCTGACCCAGTGAATTTGTTCTTCCTTATTGGCCAGAAAAGCTCCCAAAATCATGAGCTGTCTTCATGCCAATATGCTGTGCTGATTTTATTGCACATTAGCTCTTTCAATGATGATAGGTAATATATATATATATATATATATATATATATTGCTTGTTCTTTAGCATTCATATTTCTAGAGTATGTTCGAAAAATACTAGGGAAATGAATGAAAAAAATGTTAAGCAAAATTGTTTTCTTATGTTTGACATTACATTGGGGAAGTGCAAAGAAAAGTAAAATATGATTACTTTATTTACATATATGCAATTTTCTTAGTCTTTAAATAATATATATAAATATATAATGAGTTTGAACATCTAAAATGAATTTGTTGGGTTTGAACTTATCTTTTATATTCTCCTGAAATATTCTCTCTAATTTCGTCCCTATTTTCTTTCCCTAGTATTATTATTGCTCCAAACGAACCCCTAAACTTTATCCCTCAGTTAGCTTTGCCTTATAATTCAAATGCTTCTCAGGATTGCTGATGATAAGCTTGTCTTAGCTTCGCTGGAACAATTTATCATACTCAATAGCAATGAATGTTTGTATGGACCTTTTTTTCCCGGGATGTTGAAACTACTTGTAAATCTCTACGCACTGTATAGGGCTCTAGCCAAAATCAGCTACCAAATTTCTTACAGCCTAGAGGCTGAGAGGATCATGTTTCATCTATTAGCTGAAAAGAATTGGAATTTGCTGACCACAAAAATCAACCCGACGTCTTTGAAATGGATGTTCCAACAAGAGAGAATTTGCAAACTGTTGTCTCTCCAGATTCTGAATTTTTTCAGATCATACGACAACTTGAAAGGACAGCAAAATGTAGATTTACATGCTATAGCAGATCTTATAGCATCTGGGGATAACTTTGCTGGAATACTCTTTGTTAGTGTCTTAGAAGAGTTGGCAGATGAATTTGACAAAGAGATTGACTCTGGTCTGGGTTTAAGAGCAGTACAAGACATAATTGAAATAGCGCCGCCTGCTTCAGATCAGTTATGTTTGCATGGGATATCGTCTGCAATTCAGAAGTTTTATCATCAGTCCAGATATTCTTTTTGTCCAGATGTGTTCATTTCTATTTCAGAACTAACTTTTATGATTCTACAAGCAGTACAGTCCGAGTCAATTTCTGAAGAGGATAAATGGGTTGGCATAGTAGTGAAGGTATTTGAAACGTATATGTTGACATATACTTTTTTTTAATATATGTATATGTTGACATATACATATATATGTATATATTTGTCATTATTATGATTATTATTATAGCATATATTTCTTCTATTCCTCCGTTGCGGAGATAGGAGTAGTTAATTCCTTAGTCATATCATTAGTTTGTTACGAAACTAAACTCATTCTCTCGTGTATAGATATGTACGTGTAAGGTCTAACTTTTGATATGAAATAGAGATTCCTTTCAAAATTCACCAAAACGTAAATAAGATGCACAGTAACTATTGTACGTAGTCTGATTCTCAACAGTTGGAGGGTCTGTCTGGAACCTGGAAATTAGTAGGAAACTGTTTTTTTCTCTTTTGTATAAATATGAACAAATCTAAACGTATGTATTTTTTTTGAAGTACAATTTTTTTCTATGCATCTTGGCATTTTCCAACATGAAATCAAACATAAAAAAATGATCTTTTGTTGTGTGACCAAGAGGTCACGCGTTCAAATCTTGGAAGAAGCCTCTTGTTAAATGACAAGGGAAGACTTGCTCCTTAGACATACATGTGGTGGGACCCTTCCCCGGACCCTCACCTTGCGGGGACGCCAATGTGCTCCGGGCTTCCCCTTTTTAGGATTCTTTTTCTTTTCCATAGCATATCTAGCGATTCAAAGATATTCTAGGTGAGTAATGTACATGTTATTCTGCAGTTGTTGGATTTCCTCATACCATCTGTAACTGCTGATGGATGGAGCACGGAAACTCTCATAATAATTGGAATTTTTTCAATGATTCTACATCATTCTATAAATCAGAAACTGGTTGAAGCTTCAAAAAGCATACTCTTGAGTGCCCCATTGGTACAAATGCTCAGCAACACAATTACTGAAGCATGCCGTAAGGGACCTGCTCTACTCGACCATGATCAAGCTACAGAGATCGGGGAAGTTCTAATTTCTGTGCTTGCATTATTATTCTTCGCATTTAAAAGGTAAGTACTTTCCTATTGCAGTTTATACTTGCAAGCATTTCATTTCCTTTCTAATCTATATTCTAATTAAATTGCCTAAGGTGCTATTCTTCTTTAGATCCCTATGATTTTTCATTTTTATTTCATAGCCTGCTTAGCACCTAGCCCTTTTTGACATTGTTAGTTCGTATCTAATTGAAATTGTTGAAAGTATCTCAGTCAGGATAAGCCTGTCTGATTTGAACAGGAGAGCCTCCACATTTGTGTCATTGTGTGTGAATATAATAAGTTCTTGTACGTTACTAGATTGCATCCCTAACCGTATTTTATGTATTACATAGAGGAAAAGCTGGAAAATTGTAATTTCATTGTTTTAGAAAGTAATTTAAGCCAAACATATAAAACACACTTTTACAACAAATTAGTGATAAGATTACAAACTCATAGTCCCATATCAAAATTCCTCCAAAAGTTACTTGCATATGCAAAACTTTCATATGAAAGCACCAAACTCCCTCCACTTTATTACCTAACTAATACTTTTGTTGAATTAGTGGGTATGCCAATTTACCAGGGATTGTGGACTGCTGGCATCTTCTTGATGAGAGTGAGTGCAGCCTGAAACAGCCTCTACCCTATATAAGTATAAAGTGCCGTGACTTGTGCAAGTTGATTCATTTTGGCTCCTCTAGAGTAAAACTGGTTGCCTCATATAACCTCCTGGAGATTTTTAACAGTCTATCATCAGAAACATATGTAACAAAACCAGATAAGATAAACTTAGAAAAAGCTTTTTTCTTGTCTGTGATTGCCATACTAAAAGGCCTGATCTTCTGTAGCGACATTGGAGTTTCTATGAATTGCTCCCTTTCTTTGTCAATGATCATTGGGTGGCAAGGTATGCAGACACAGGTATTAGCAATTGAAAGGGACAGTTGGTTTCGGCTGATCATGGAAGAATTGGCTATGTCTTTGGCTTTTCCGCGTTTGGCATCAAAGTCCTTCACGGCCTACCACAAGCCAGCGATTCATGTAGCCGTTGCATTGCTGAGGATGAAGCAAACTCCTCCATGGATCACTTCAGTGTTTGATGAATCTTGTATTCAGGGCATCATACATAACATTTCGGTATCTAATTTGAGCTCTGAACTGGTTCTTTTTTTTCGAGAACTGCTTAGCGCTGGATATTTGAAGGATGGACAGATCTCATTCTTAAATCGCATATTCCAGGTTCTATATCCTTGCTTCAATATCCACAATAACTAGTTTCATGTCTGTTTTCGTTCTCATTTGTTTATTTTAAGGTAAGGAAGTGTTTGCTACTGCTTCTATGTTAAAAAAGTGATTCTTTAAAGTGGTTTTAGAGAAAGTGGTCAATACAAAAAGTCAATATTGTGCGAAAAAAGTGCTTTTGAAAAAGTAAAAGTTGATAATGTTTGGTAAACATGTGTTTTTCGTGTAATAGAAAAAAGCTATGTTGTAAAAATCGGACCGAGAGACGACCCGGACATCGCTCGATTTCTTAATAAATTGTCTCGTGTGTTTGCTATGATGGATTTGGGGAAGTTACGTTATTTTCTTGGTATTCAGGCATCTCACACCCCTCATGGTTTATTCCCTTCTCAACATAGGTATGTCACTGACCTTCTTTGGCATTTCCATCTTCATACACTCAAAATATGTTCGTACACCTTTTTCATCTCGCACCACCTTATCCCTCAAAGATGTTGAACTTTTGGATGATCCTACTATGTATCGTAGCATGGTTGATGCCTTAGAGTATTTGACTATGACTAGACCATATATTACATACGCGGTACATTTAGTTTCCCAATTCATGCATGCACCCCGTACTTCACATTTTTGGAGTTAAATGTATATTCCGGTACCTTCAAGGGAAATCGGATCACGGTCTGCTACTTCCCCCCATCTAAGAATCATCCATAATAATAACTTATTTTGACGCTGATTAGGCTTGCTGTCTAGATAGAAGTTGTTCCACCACGGGGTATGCAATTTTCTTGTTTCCAAATTTAGTCTTCTGGTGCTCCAAGAAACGGCCTATTATCTCCAAAGTCTTATACAGAAGTTGAATACAAGACCATTGCTTACACGTTCAAGACACTCTACATGTTCGCTCTATGCTGTTTGAGCTAGGGTTTCCTCTTTGAGTGCCTATTAAGCTAAAATGCAACAATATTTATGCATCATATCTTTCTTCTAATCCGGTTCAACATGCTTGCAACAACCATGCCCGCATTGGTTACCACTTTGTTAGAAATGTGTCTCATGGTGATTTGATTGTTGAGTATGCCCCTACTCAATTGGGGTTGACTGATATGTTTACCAAGAGTCTATCTTCTCAGAGATATCATTTTCTCAAGCATAATTGCACATTATTTCTCATGCACAAATTGAGGGGTGTAATAGTTCATACATATGGGGTCTCTTGTGTAATTTATAAAACCTTACCTATTATAAATATCTATCGGGGCTACCTTTTTTCTCTCTCGAAGTAAACCACACTAGGTGGGGGAGTGCGGGGAACATCTCCCGATTTTATTAATAAAAGGTTACGAGATACAGGAGCTAAAGAAAAGCATTAAATAAAGCATACAAGGAATATTAAGAAATTTAGCAGTTGAAATTTTTTGTCGGAATTCCAAGAGTAGTTGAGATAATTCTGTTGTATCTGTTGTGGAACTTGATCGTTTTCTGAAGATAGGGTTGGTAAGTTGTAGCCTCTGGTTTTGAAGACTTATAATGTTTGATAGCTGCGCCAACTTGTGTGGCGAGTCAAACCTTGGGCCAACCGGGTATAAGAAATAATCAGATTCATCTTGAGGTTCGTGAGAGCGACTTCTGGTGACCATTGGATGTGAAGCCCATACCACACGTGGTAGTATTGTTTGTTATGAATCTTGGTGATCGTCATTAGGGAATTTGGCTGGGTTCTTATTTGTGTTTCTTGACTTTCTTCTTCTAGTAACCTCCTAAAACCTTCCAGACATTCTCCTTCATTTGGGGAATATTGAGTAGGTCCTGAAAAAGTTTGTAAAAAAGCATTGTTTTCTTCAGTAGAGTATCATCGTAGGATAACTTGGGGGCATGAGTAGTATTTTCATTCGAGGGATTAGATAGAATATCATCATTTCCGCTTTTAGCCTCAGTTAAATCATTGGCACCAGGGGCGCTAATACGGGTAGGCAATAGTGCACTGTGAGCACCATTAAATGCAGCAGAACCCATCAACAAGGGATGAGCATCGCCTCCGGTTACCGCACGCCTTACTAAAGGTAGCCACCGGAGGCCCATCCCAAGTTACAATAGCATCAAAACCACGGACAATAGGGGCTGTATCCTGCTTTTCATCACTGGCAGAGTGGCAGCAATCATATGGGCCAAATCATTGGCATATTCTGAAAGGGCAGTATCATTGGCTACCTATTTGATAAGCCAATTCATTACTCCGTACTATTTAACACAAAACAAGGCCTAAATAAAAATGTATCAAATTAAAAAAATGTTACTACCTCCGTCCCACTAACATTGGGACATGAAGAGATGATACGATTATTAAGAAAAATGAGTTTATTTGTTTGATATTAATTTGATAAGTAAGAATAAAATAAGAATAATTTAGAATTTGATATGAGATAATTTTAGTGGGACAGATTGAAATGGAAATATGAGACAATCTTAACGACATGGAAGGATAATTTTTTTCTTTCTTTAATAGATTGATTTTATAGGGCCTACTTTCAGGAGGTGAAAGACATATTTAGCACAGGGGCCATTTTTTCGAGGGCCCCCAAAAATAATACTCCGTACTATGTACGTACTATGTTAGTAGTCATAGACTCAGAGGCTTGATCTTACAAATGATGAAATAAAGTATTTTTTATTGTACGCTTTAATTAATGATTTTGTTTCAAAGGTTGCTAGGAGGACAATCATCTTCAAATTATAGCTCATCCACTATGTAGCTCATCCACTATGTAATATTGTTTTAAGATTATCTAATTTTTGTACTTTATCAATATATAATTTATATTTTCTTAGGTAATTTAATATATTTTTATTTTATGAAATTTAATTACATTAATATATAGTACTACCTCTGTTCCAAAAACTTTGTTACCTTTAAAACGTTAACCAACTATATTTTTATTGAAAATTATTTATAATATAAAAATGATATGAAAATGTTCTTTGGTAAAAAATTATAAAATTTATAACTTTCATAGTATTATACTAATCAAAATCATGGTTCAAATTTTATGAAATGACAAAGTTTTTTGTGACGGAGGTTGTATTGTTTTTACTTTTCTTTCGGGATCTCAATTCATCTTTCAGACGAGGGCCTCTAAAATCTAGGTGACTGACCCTCGATATATATATATATATATATATATATATATATATGTATATATATATATATATATATATATATAAAATAAAGCAAACCCTTGGAGAACTCTTTAGATGAATTCTTGACATGTGGCAACATCCTTTATGTGAAAAAATGACATGTGGTAACACAATAAATTCAAGAAAAAACTATTCAACTTTCAAAACTTTACTCTTATGTATTCCAATATTATATATATATATATATATATATATATATATATATATATATATATATGTATGTATGTATTTATATTTATAGATGTATATATATAAATATAAATAATTAGTATACTTGAAAATAATATTGGTAGTCAAATATAAATAAATAATATTTATATTTAAATGGACAGGGCAAGTTTAATTTATTTTTTTAAAAATGTCACTGCATTTTTTTTATGGTAACACATACTTCTACTTCACATAATGCACAATTTTCAAATCTAACGTTCTGGTTCATTCTAATTCTCTTCATAGATTGCATTCTCATTTGATCGCCCAAATTACATACTTCCTCCATCCCTAAAAGATTGTCCTACTTTGACTTCACACAAATTAAGGAAATGAATTTAACTTCACACTATAGTGACACTGTAGCGACACTGTTTTGCACTGTTTAATGTAGTTTTGTTTATCGAATAAGAAACTTAAAAAGGTATGACAAACATTTTGAGACATCCATTTCGGGAAAGTAGGACTAACATTTAGGGACGGATGGAGTATATAAGAAACTAAAATACAAAGCACACAATACTTAATTGATAAGTTTAATTGAAAATATTATTACATCATTGTTGTACTAAAATTTGATAACTGTTACATTGTACTACCTCCGTCCCACTAACATTGGAACATGAGGTGGTGACACGATTATTAACAATAACGAGTTTATGTTGTTGACATTGAATTGATAAAGTAAGAATAAAGTAAGAATGATTTAAAGCCACACAAATGTTACCTAATTTTGTATGAGACAATGTTAGAGAGACGGATCGAAAGGGAAAGATAAGAAAATCTTAGCTGGATGGAGGGAGACATGGAGTATCTATCAAAAGCACTCATTGTACAAAAATAAAGACGCAATTTACATCTGTTGAGTAAACATTTGTAAAAAATGACTATTAATTGTTAAGAAATTACTTTCAACAATAACATAAAAAATATGCTAGAGTAATTTTTTTAATAGTAATTTATTTAAATAATTATTATATATAGAAATAATAGTTAGGGTTGTAAAATAATAAGTATATTTGAAAACCATCAATATTGAAGACAAAAAATTAAAAAAACATATGTTTATATTTTGGGTTATTCACAATCTGCATGGGTCAACTCACTTAACATGCAACCCTTGCAAGTTGACCCACGAAACCAGTGAGTTCATTAGGTAAAAAAATGACAACTCTTGCCCATCGTGAAATGGGATGAAATGGGCTAGCCTAGGGACTTTGACTCATTTTGGCAGCTCTTTTCACAGTCAAGTGATTTTTTTAAACCCTGATTGACGAATTCACATACAATTCATTTATTTCTCTTACAATTTCAATAAAAACTTTAAGTGCATATTTTGTCGTGCGGTGCATAGTGTGTATATGAGTGTAGTAACACGCAGGTTTTGGCATATGCAGGACTGTAGAAGAGGTATTTACAGAGACAAAGTTCAAGATGTTAGGAAAAAGCACGCACACAATAATAGCGCTGCAGCTATTCAATGTGATTTAAGAAAAGCAAGTGAGTTTTTCATTAATCTCATGGAATCACATTCGTCCGTTACTTTTTTGCCTTGTGCACGTCAAAGTGAAAACAGGAGATTGTTGGAAGAAATAGAAGCGTTTTCGAAGTGTCTAATGGTAGATGATTAAGGCCGCTTATAGATTTTGTATAAATTTTTAACGTTATCTCTTTTTCATCTTCTCACGTCATATTTTAACTAGAAAGTAGTTATTTCAGATTTTTGAACATTTTACTGAATGAATGCGAATTCTTATCTCTGTTGAGGATATGTTTGGTGTTAGAATTATACTTCTGCTTCTCATTTCAATTCGTAAGATTTTTTAATCCTATTTCAATAATTGTATTTGGGCAAAATATAGACATAATACGGCATATTGCCATATTTTAGAAATTCCTAAAATTTGAGTAAAAATAATGTAAAATTTCAAAGCAAAGTAAAATTACTATGTTTTTATACATTATATATGAGTAATTTATTGTCACTCAAATTTACTATCATGTTTTGACATTATCAAGCTTTAATAAGATATAATTACTCTTATAGTCCTATTTAGCGATAAAACATAACTCTTCTTTTTCGGACTTCCAAATTATTTTGGAATTTCTCTATGTTGTAAGAACCTGATCGGACCCGCCGGTTCGACCCAGAACCGGGTCATCCGGCCATGTAGCCGGTCCGACTGAGCATCAAACCTTAAATATGGTCAAAACCAGAATTAACCGATAACCCAATGAAACTTTTGACGGACCCGGACATTCTCAAACCCGGGAAATTGAAAACCCCAAGAAAAGCGTTGACAGTGGGTCTCAAGCTTGGGCCTAGGGTTGTATCCAGTTCGGTACTGTGTGGGACCGGACATTTCCGTAAAATTGGTCTCGGACTAGGACCAGGTACTCGGCGGTCCCGATCGTGGGTGCAGAGTTTGGGGATCCAACGGGGTGGTTCCGATCCCGGTTCCAGTCTCACCGGTCATTTTTTCTTGTTTTTTTGACTATATTGCCATTGAGGGTGGTGATATATATTGTTCACCCGGTGTTATGTACACCCGGTTTTTTTTGTACTAGTAATTGTTTGTAAAATGAAGGTCATCAATTATATGGAGTGGACTGTTTGCTCTCTTTTATCATCTTCCGTCGTTTCTTTCTATTTGTCCCCACTTTCCGTTGTTTTTAGTTTACATTTTATTCATCTGCACTTTCAATCCATTTTTAGCTTCTTCTCGTTTTTGCTTGTTCTTCTTTCTGTTGCTTCTTTTTATCGTTTTTCATTTTTTTTTTATTTTGAACTTTAGTTCATCTAACTTTAACTTTTCATCAAGCCAAAAAAAAACTCTAACTTTTCTTTTTCTTTTTTCTGCTTCCGTTTTTTTTCTAATTTTAATTTTTCTAATAAGCACAATTAAATTTGTTGGTCTAAAATAAGGAATTGGTGCTTCTTTATATATGTTATATTGATATGAGTCTACACAAATTCATATTTGAGCATACTGGAGATTTTAATTGAGTTTTTTAAAATTTTTATGCTTATTTCGTCAGTTATGTATGCTCATTTGAAATTTGTACAATGTTCATTTTAAAATGTAATATTGGTGTAATGCTCATTTGAAATTTGTACAATGCTCATTTTAAAATGTAATATTGGTGTAATGCTCATTTGAAATTTGTACAATGCTCATTTTAAAATGTAATATTGGTGTAATGCTCATTTTAAATTTTTCGTTGCTCATTTCATAAGTTATGTATTCTCATTTAATATATAGGAATACTAGAGATTTTAAATGAGCGTTTTAAATTTTTTCGATGCTCATTTCGTAACTTATGTATTTTAATTTTATATTGATGTAATGTTCATTTTGAAATGTCACATCCATGCATTGGTGTAATGCTCATTTTAAAATTTTCGATGCTCATTTCACAACTTATGAATTTTTCAATGCTCATTTTGTAAGTATGTATGTTCAATTGATATTGGTGTAACTTTCATTTTAAAACGTCATGTCCATGCATATTGGTGTAATTCTCACTTTAAAATTTTCAAAGTTCATTTCATAAGTTTTCTCATTTAATATTTGAGCACACTACAGATTTTAAATGAGTTTTTTGAATTTGTTTATGTTCATTTCGTATGCTATGTTTGCTCAATTGGTATTTGTGTAGAAATAATTACATTAATATGACTAAAATAAAGATGGTTTACAAAAATATGATTTGTTACTAGAGTAGTAATGAAAACATAGTAATTCATGTTCAAATTTCGAACTTAAGTTACTACAACACTACGTTGTAGTAATGAATAGTCATATTTATGTAAATAAGTTTTATTTTAGTAATATTGTTGTAAAAAACTCATTTGTGTAATACTCATTTTAAAATGTCATGCATTAGATTCAAATATTGGGCTCATACAGGTTCATTGTAGATATTATAAAAACAATAAAAAGAAAGTGAATAACAATATATGAAGGTTATATTATGATACTTATTATTCGACTCCTAATACTCGGTTGAATATGTTTGATGCCAACTAAAAGTGTATGAGTGCTCATTTAACTAAAGTCACGATTTTCACTGAATTACGAAAAATGTCACCGGCTGTTAACCGTGACTTCATATGAATATCTTGTTGATGGAGTATATGGCCCAGGAACCCCCGGCCCAAAGACTCCCACTACTCCAACACAGGCCCAAGAAGCACAAGAGACCCAAAGCACAGCGGCCCAAGCTCAAAGGAGTCCAAGGTGCGCCTGGGGTAGCCTTCGGCAACATGGCCGAAGGCTCCAAAACTCACAGGACAGCCAGGTTTGAGCATACGAAGCTACTGGAAGAAAACGGCAGAAATCAGGAGCCTTCGGCACTTTCGTGCCCTCAGCGTCAGGGAAGCCTTCGGCTGAACCAAGCCTTCGGCTACATAGAGCCCTCGGCCGCAGGGAGAGCCTTCGGCAAAACAGCTCAATCATCGAAGATTCCCTTTGGAGACAAGCAACCACCGCATTTAATGCGGCGTCACATCCACCTTGTGGTGCACATGCGAGTGTCGGTGCCACCCTGATTGAGGTGACCCCTCGGCCGTTAGATTACTGACACATGTATTCTCATCGCATTTATGGCTGCTATAAATAGCACCATTTATTCCTCTTGTAAAGGATCCGATACCAGAACATCTCGAGTTCATTAATACAATCGACTCTCTCTCTCTCTCTCTCTTACTTGTTTGCTCTGACTTCTCCCTAGGTTATTCTCATAGTAACCCCCCCGGATAAGCTACCTCCTGGGTACACTATCCATCATTTGGTGCTCTCGTTGAGAGGTCCAAACAATCAAGTAAGAAACCCTCCCCTTCACCAAACAAAAACACCTTCCAAAATGGGAAGAACTCGTGGTCAGTCCAAAACCCTCGAGGAAAACCGCGTAGTCCCCAGCGAAACCAACTGGGCCGAGGCCTCCAACAGGCTCTTGGTACCCGAAGGTGGCACCATCCTCGAATTGGAGCCGGCCGCTATTGACCTCCGTCAGCAGCTGCAGAAGGCTGCCCCCGATGCCCGCATCGGCCTTGATAGCCGAAGGAAGGACCGAAGTGCGAACCAAGTTCCCCCTACGGCTCCAACCATCGACCTCCAGGCCGCCTTCGCGGCCTTCGTCCCAAACATGGTGATGAACTCTGGTGCCTTCGTTTCTCAGGCACCCCTCCAACACCAATACGAGGGAAACTTTGCCCATTTTCCGCCACCCCCTCCTCTGTTCAACAACCCCATCATATGGGTTGGCAACGCCGAGGGGGTCATGGCACAAGACACCGCCTCCTAAGAGGCTCAATCCAAGGACAGATGTCACGTAAATAAGGAGAAGCCCCGAACCTCTGCCCTCGAGAGATTGGGGGGAGCCCCTGAATGCCGAGGGGTCCAAGACCGCCTCGGTGGCAAAGCAATCAGCAGGCCGCAGGAGAGTGGAGGCTCCGTCTCCGGGACCGAGGAGAGATCTCCCCCTCGGGATAAAGGCAAGGCCTCCTCCACGCGGATGACGCTAGGCATCAAATCAACCATGCCCAATCCTTCAGGGCGAAATCCCAGGGGGCAGCCCCGAGGGATCACAAGGATGAAATCATCGAGGCCCTCCGGCGCCAACTGGAGGAAAAGGAGGCACGCCAAACGCCCCCCGCTTCGACTTCGGAGGCGGATCCAAAATACGTCGCCATACTGGCACAAATGGAGGAGATGAAACGCAAGTTCGCCGAAGGATCAGGTGAACCCCTCATCCAACTCCGCACAAGGACCCCCTTCACCCCAAGGGTGTTGGCAGCTCAGATTCCCGGCAAATACCGAGGGCAGCCCATCAAACCATACGAGGGGAAGACGGATCCCCAAGAGCACTACAACAGGTATCAAAATAGTATGATGATGATGGGAGCATCGGATGAATATTTGTGCCGTTGGTTCCTTTCCACCTTAGAGGGACCAGCGTATGAATAGTTCAACCGATTGCCCGAAGGCAGCATAGATTCATGGCAAGAGCTTGCCCACCGCTTCCTCACACAATTCACCGGGAGGCACCGATCAAAGAAACACTTCTCCCACCTTTTGAACGTGAGGCAACAAAAGGAGGAAACCCTTCGGAGTTTCCTAGAACGCTGGAGGCAAGCCTCCATCGAAGTCGATGGGGCCGACGACAGGACCTTGATGGCCCTCTTCCAGAAGCCTTATTACTGATCCCCCCGCGATTATACAAAAGCTCTCCAGCGGGGGGACCGATATGCCGAAGCCGAAGAGATCGAGAAGGATCGCCGTAATCCGGAGCCTTCTCAGAAACATGAAGGCAGAAACCGCCCCAGGGGGCCACCCCCTCCGATGAACCGAGAGGCGCTATACAACGACCACCCCCGGAATGGCCAAGCCAGAACCGGGGGCCGCTACAAGAACAACCCGAGGGCTTGGGCACAGCCTACCCTCCTGGAGCACTCACGCACCCCTCTGACGCATCCCATCAACGTCATCCTGGACTACGCGGAGGAAAGGGGCCTCGTAGAGCGAGACTCGCGCGCACCCCTAGAGGTATATGCCATCAATCCTAACGAACCTTATTGTCGCTTTCATCGCCACCAAGGGCACAGAACTGATGACTGCCATCACCTGAAGGCAGCCATCGAGAGGTTGATACAGGCAGGACATTTGTCCCAATTTGTCAGGGGCCCTCCTCCTCAGGGCCCCCCTCATCACCAAGGGCCCCCACCGAAGGCAAACAAGTGGGTTAACCCGAATACCATCCCCTTGGGAAATCCACATGGGAAGAAGCGTGAGATTGGGAACCTCAGCG